GTCGATGAAATTTAATAATTCCACTTAATGCAATAATAATTTCGTCGCCTTTTGTTGCCGGCCCCCAGGATCAGCATCAGCATCAGGACGAAAATCCGAATTGGGAGAATCAGAAACCCGGGCGCCGGGCAAACCATTCGTTGGCCATTCGTGCCATCGTTGTCGTCATCATTTTTGTGGCCAACGCATAATTTGTGCGAAATTTGTCAGATTGCTGCCACAACGTTGGACGGGCTCTTAAGGCTGAGTAATGCCCGGGAATCGAGGGAATCGGGGGGAGATCAGTGGTAGTGTTGGGGTGCCAGAGTCATTTGTAATATGTTTTATTTGACTTGCGGCAGCTGCTTCTCTCAATGAAGGCTAAGTAATTGACGCTCCGAACTCCCAGAGGAGTGGGCGTGCCGCTGAGGCAGCTGATTACAATTAGTTGGTGGGAGTTTCTGGCTAAATTGTTGCCAGCCGGGAAAATTTGAGCGGAAAATGAGTGGCAAAAGCAGCGTTGAATTGACGCCAATTGGGAGTTGGCATCTCGTTCCTGTTTCCCTATAAAAACACGCACCTGACAACTCACTTTAATGTATGTCAAACCTCAGCGGTTGGCAACTGGCTTGGGGCAAAAAAAAGAAAAGAAACACAGAAATAACAAAAACACAAATAAGAATGGTAAAAAATTCCAGCGGCCTCTTTTTGACATTTTGAGTGACATTATTTGTGTCAACAATAAAACACTCAAGCGGCAAGAACGAGATGAAGACGGTAAACGAGAGGAGAAAAGTGTCAGTGCACTGAGAGGAAATATGAGGGATTGAGTTATATGCAAATTCATTTTGAGGAAAGAAAAGAAAGATGTTATTAAGCTGTAAAAATAATATCTTATAAAGTTTTATAAACCTGTTAATGTTAGCTGTTGGAATATATGTTTAGGTAAGTTGAAGATATAATGCGAAATATTTTTTATTCGATATTAAATCAGTCAATTTATACTGTGTTTTCAGAAATAACATTAGATTTTTTATACCATGATTACTCTGTATCCTATATGAGCCAGTAAATATAGTAAAACAAACGCTAAGCAATGCAATGTAATTCAAAAATATACCAATCAGAATCAGAAGTTTCCCTTAGTGCATATTGGGAGTTGTCAGCAAATAAGCACAAGTACAAAGTGGAAAGTGAAAATAAGCAGCAGAAGGAAAGCGAACTCAAACCAAGGCCAGTGCAATTTAAAATTCAATAAAACTTCAATCAGCGTTTAAAAATGTGTGAGTGCGGGGCGGGTGGTGTCGATGAGTGTGTGTGCTGGTGTCCCTGTGTGTGAGAGTGTGGCAAGTGGAAAGACAGCGCCCAGCAATTTAAACAAATTGAAAGCAAGCGCAAATAAAAAACAGTTTGTTGCCACTTTTCACATCAATTACGCACTTCAGCCGAAATAGGCGACGAGGACGAGAGAAAGAGAGCTGCAGAGAAGGCAGAAGAAAACGACGAAGGAGGCAGCCCAGCAACGTAGAAGAAGAAGAAGAAGAAGACGACGAGTCCTTCGAACCTGCGTCCAACCACCCAATCGTCTAACTGTATAGCCACCCAGCGACCTCCCCCTCAATCTCTTCGGCTGCTGCTGCTGCTTCTAGTACAAAAATAACACTTGAAACTAAACGCGCATTCAGGCAACGCCGCTGTGCTGCCACAGCCTCAGTCGACGTCGCCGCCATGCCACACCCACCAACAACAATTTTCGCTTGCGAACACGGGGCGTATTTTTCCACGTTACTGCTGTTGTTGTTGTTGTTGTTTTTTGCCTATGACCAAGGGGCGGGGGACTCCAATTGCCACCCACAATTTGAATACGTGCCTTTTCCCTCTTTAAGTGTATGGCTGTTTGTGTTTGTGTGTTTGTGCGTGTGTGTTTGTCTATGTTTTCCTTTTGCAAAAAGCGAAAGTAAATGTTTGAAAATCGCAAGGAAGGAAAAATCAAGTAAGCATCTGTAGAAAAAAGTAAAACATCGATGGGGGGATGACGAAGCTTTGATGCTCTGGGGGGATTTTAAAAAGGATGATAACCGACTCCGAAGCAGAAATCTGGACAAATAGCTATAAATCCTTTACGGAATTTTCCATGCTGGTTGGAGATTTGTCGAATTATCATCTCTTTTCTAATCTGGATAACAATTTTTCTTTTGGGAAATACTTTAGGTTTGGAAATTTATTATTGATTTATAGATAGTTTAGCAATTTTTGGGAAAGAATTGTTTTGAAAAATGCTAGAAAAAGTATTAAAAGTAACTACGATGAAAATAATAAATGCGAAAATCATTAGCTAGTCAAATCAAGTGTTTTAAGAAAGTATTTTCAGAGCCATTGAATCCTATTTATAGAAATTCAATTTTTAAATGGGTTTTTCTTACAATCAGGAGGGTTTCACAAAAGTAAGTTTTATTCATAGAAAGACATAGACATGCAAAACATATATACAATCGATAATATTGTGACATATAGACGTTAATATTTTCAATTAAAACAAAAAATTGGTTTATAAAAATATTTAAAAAATTAATTTTCTCCAAGAAAAACATTAAAATCTTTAAAAAAAGTTCCATTACTTAGAGCACGTTGTCTGCCATTTTAAACCCTGCGCGAACTCCTGTTTTTAAAGAATTTCCCAGAATTTTCCCAGAGCAAACATAAGCGGGAATCTGCAAGTACCGTGTACCGGGTACCATGTTTCCCCTGGAGAATCCTGGCAAACGCTCCATACCCTTTTCGCAGGGTATTGAAGATGGGAGTGGGGGCAAAAAAAAAAGCGAAATGCTGGCAAGCTTTTTATTGCGCGTGATAACAAGCTGGGAGGCTGGTGGCCGGAATTGTCCTAAGGTGCTGAAGGACGAGCGGGGTGGGAGGGGCGTGGCAAATGGGTAAGCGGAAGGGGGGGGAGCCTTGGCAGAGCGGTACGCAGAAATGAAAGATCTGAGAGCTGAGGCGAACTGGAATCTGGTGGGCCTCTGGTGTGTTCTGGGCAGTGCGCCGTTTGATGTTATTATAGATGACGATGACGATGATGATGGCGGTGACGACAGCGCGACTCTCACACACACACACACACACATATATATACATCCTTAGCCAGGATGATTTGGGCCCCATCTCCTGGGCAAGGAAACCTCCTACTTTTACCAAGAAGGCTGCCAATCAAAGTCGCCGCGGCAAATGTCTTGTTCTTTGGCTTGTTCAGGTTGTCAAGGCTCCTCAAGTACATGCGTGTGTGTCTGTCTGTGTCCTTTCACTATGAGTGTCTTCGTTTGACAGCCATTACTTTGTTGCCTAGGTGTTGCCGTCGCCATTGACAATGATTTGCTCTGGCTTAAAGGCGCCCACGATCCGGCTGGAATTTAATTCGCTTGGAGCAGCATCTTCTCAGGCGGCAAACTAGGCCATCAAATATCTGTTTTACATTGTCAAATAAATAATTTCGTCATACTTTTATTTATTTTCATTTAATTTTTATTAAGAATTAAATAAATTGTGGTATCTGGGATAAATTATATCTCTAATATTTGCTCTAATTCTGTTTAGCTAAAAACAACTCATCAACATGGAAATAAGCCCTAGGCTGTCTGGTTTTCATTTCAATCTAAATAATAAAATAAAATAGTTTACATATTTTGATTACATTTATGCAGAGATGAAAATAAACAAACATTCAAAATGTAAAATATTAAATCATTTAATAATATCAGAATAATTATCCAACAAAAACAATGTCGAATTTTATATTGGCAAATAGCCATCCTACAAATCTGTACATTTGATCTTTGCTTTAAGAAAACTTTAAAAGAAATGGTATTGCTTTTGTATTTTCAGAAAACAACATCATTAGTTTCCCTGTTTTCCTTTTGCTATTCAAGCAGCTTAAGGGAAAGTACGGAGCCAAGGGCATTTGGTATTCATTATTTAATACTCTGAGCGACATTTGTCAAATCTATGGGAATTACTATTTCCGCCGGAAGTTGGCCGCTCGCATCTTTCTTTCTCCCTCTCTCTCACGACAAGCTTTCTTTACTGGCTACCTGAGCTGCGTTTAGGAAAGTAGAAAAGAGTCCTTGCTGTCGCTGTTATCCTGTTCCGCGACTGATGCTGCTGCTCCTGCTGGCGCCTAACAATATGCAATAATAACAATTTACATATTCATGAGACGCCCGACCCGCAAACAGCAGCAGCAGCCGCACCAACACACAAGGGCAAGAGGAAGAAGTGAGCGGGGTGTGGTTCGTATTGGGCGGGGCTGCTAAGGCGGAGGTGAAAGTAGAGCGGCGGCAGTTTGCATAAAGAGCAGCAGAGGCCGCTTAAAAAAATCAACAAGAGGGTTTCCCCTCGCCGCCAACGCCATCTGTAAACCCGATTGGACAGCAGCAGCCCTTTTGTTAAGCCGGGCCGTAACTGTAGCTGGCCAAATATTTATTTATTTATATTTATTCCGTCTTTTAACCTCTTTCCCCACCCACCACCAGCTCATTTATTTATTTTTCATATTTTTATGATATTTATTTTTGAGGGGGCTGGTATTTTGTTTGCCCCGGCAGCGCAAATTTTTGCGCTTCGAATACTTTTGCCAGTTGGATTTTGAATGCTGATTGCCGGGGGGTTATTTTTTTCTTTTTCGGTTCGGTTTTTCGGGTATGGAAAAGGTTAAGCTACAAGTATTATTTTTAGTTGGGCGCCCAACACGAATGAGGCTGTGCCCGCTCTTAGAATCTGCTAACGCTCTTCTTTTCGAATCTCGGCAAGAACCTACCACAAAAATAAATCAAAACAAAGGCCATTCGGAGATGTTAAGAGCAAAAGAGATGGTCTCCATTGGCAAACAGCATCCACATGGGGATTTTGAGAGATTTTTTGAGAGTCATTGCTCTGCTTTCTCTCGCGCAGCAGCGACGCCTTTGAGAATTAAATAGCGAGAAACTGAGAACAGAGAAACAAGAACGGAGAATCGAGAGTTCAGAACTTGGGAACTGCGAGGTCCGTCAGTCAGGTGCAGACAGTTGACGTGTTCGGTTGACAAAGGCGGAAACGTGCACTAGTTTATTTGGCCAAATAAAAAATATCAACTGACACACACAGTGCGCTTGAGAGAGCAGGACAGCAGAAGCAGCGGTCGAGAGCGAGATTCCAGATAGCCAGTTAAATAAAATAAATAACAAAAACAAGATACAAAAAACAGCAGCGATGTCAAGAGCAACTAGATAAATGATAAATAAAAATGTGTAAAATAATTGCGACAACTACTGGCAAATAGCAAATAGAGCAAGACAAACAGCAGCAGCAGCAGCAACAACAAGCGCCTGTGTGTCCGTGTGTGTGTGTGTGAGCGAGCGAGAGAGAGAGAGAGCGAGAGCGCGCGAGTGTGAGTGTGTGAGTGCTTTGTACATGTGCCAGTGTCTGTGTGCGTGTCACATATCAGCAGAAGAAAAATCAGCGGCAGCAGCAGCAGCAGGAAAAGCAGCCAAGAAGCAGCAGCAGCAGCAGTGGAAAAGCGCGCAGCCAAGCAGGAAAATTCGTAAACCAAGTTGGCAGAGGAAAAGCAGCGAGCCAGCGAAGGAAAAGCAGCGCAGCAGCAGCGACGCTAGCAGAAGGTAGGGCTAGGACATTTTGCGTTTTTCCACAGTTTCCACACACAGCATAACAGCATAACTCACCACACCCTGATCCTGCAGGAGCAGCAGCTGCGCAGAGATTTTCCACAAGAGCAAGAGAGAGATTTTCCCCAAGAGAGAGAGAGAAAAGCAGAGCCGCGAGAGAGAGCAGGCCAGATTAGCGATGCTTTTCACGTGGAGTCTGTGCACAGAAATTGCCATCCATCCATCCATCCAAACAGGACCTTCCCCGCCCGCCCTAAAAAACCCCCTTTAACCACCCTACCGCACTCAGAGTAAAAGTAGTAGGAAAAAACATACACAAAAAAGTTATGAAAGTTGCGTCCAATTGTCTTTGGTGATTTTTCATAGCCCGCTTTTCTGGGCCACGTTACTCTCGGCCCGCGGCAACTTTGGCATCTTTCCTCTGCAGCTCAAGTAATTGCTTTAAATTGACACAATGTGTGTGTAAACAAAGCTGTGAAAAATTCAATTTCCAAGCCAGGCTGACCTTGCTCTGGATTGGTAAAATTCCATTTGGGATTCTTTCTTGATGCTACGGCAATTACAAAATGGGTAATGCATTTGATAAACTCTTGCAGGCTCGTACACACACACACACAGAGTGACTTGCCTTTCTAGCCGAAGGATGCCAATAAAAATGTAGGATTCTGTGTCACACACACACACCCAAGCCGAGATTGAGTGTGCCAGTGTGTGTGTGTGTGTACGTGTAAATGACCGGAAAGTGTGTTCAAGTGCTCCCTGGCAAGCGATGAGGCTACTTTGGCCAGAAGTCCTAGTCTCCTTTCTTTTGGGGGCTTTCGGCTCCCTTTCGTGAAGAAGCACTTCAATTGTCAAATTGCTCTTGCTTATTGTTGCAATAGTTTTGCTGATGGACAGGTTTTCCCCAGCAGTCCCAGCCCGTCCAGCTCCTGCTCCCGCTCCTTTCACTTGTTTTTAAAGCGATTCCCGCAGACATAGTCATTTTTTATGGGCGTCGTCCTGTCGTCTTTCGCAGTTCTTCTTGCTCAAGCAAAGCCGGGCAAAACGAAACAATCAACACGGAAGCAGATTCCTCGTTGTTCTTCACTCCTGTCGTTGTTTTTTTTTTTTCTCCGCTGTTTTTGTGTTGTGTTGGTTGTTTGTTGTTCTGAGCCCGTTGTTGTTTTGTTTTTTCTGTACCGGGCTGTGTACAAATCAGCGTGGCCTAGTGCGCTGCTTGAGGTTGGTGCTTTTGTGCCGTGAAATGCGAGTTTTATGGCGGAGTGGCTTGGCTTCATCGGGTTGACATTTAAGTTGTTTCTTTCCTGTCATTCAAGTGTGCGAGTGAGTGTGTATGTACTCGTATATATATGTATATGTATATATATATATGTGGGAAAGTTCAAAAGTCAGTCAAGTCAGCAAAGTTCTTCCACTTTTGCCATCGCACACGGGGCGTATGAGCAATGCGAGGCAATGCGAAGCGAAGCAATTCATGGCTCATACGCCCCGTGCACGTCGCTCTGTCAAGCTGAAAGCCACAACTATCGCCAATCAATTGAATTAAACTCGGGGGCCAAATTGCAGTGCACGTGGCTGCCAGCTGAAGGAAAATGGAAAACTGAGAACTGAAAATTGAAAATTGTGAATTGCATTTGACCCCCCCGCCTCACCCCCTCCTCTCCCAACAGGCCCATTTTCCAAACCTGCCCTCTTGGGTTCAAATTGAAAGCTGTCAGCGAGCCTGATTCGCAGCCATAGGGACTCAACAAGCAGCCGTAAGTCGAAGTCAGAATTTCATAAACAGGACTCAACTGAAAATGTTGAGAAGATACGCCAAGTGATACGATACAAGCGGAGAATATTATATACTGATACTCGTACACTCAGACACTTGACGTTGGGCTAGACAAAGGCAAAAAGGCAATTATAGAAATACAGACGAGCGGCAACAAATAATAAAAGCAAGTTGCCATAGACAATCACAACAACCATGAGGGGGGCAAAAAGATGGTTAGATTGGAGGGCAGATTCGAGGAGACGCTGGCGAAACGATGTTGACGACAAGTAGCTGCAAAAGTTCTGCGACGTTTTGCGCATATTAAACAAAGTTGACGACAGCGACGCCGGCAGTGGCCAGCAAACCGAGAACTCCGGACCGACTTCTCCGGACTCCGGACTCCGGACTATTCTCACTCCTCACTCCGCCCGGAGAATTGCGAATTGCGAACTGGGAACTGAGAACTGAGAACTCAGACAGCGGCAGCCGCAGTCGCCGTCTCATTATTTATTTGATTGCCCGCACAGCCAATGCTCGAATTACCCCCTGGGAAAAAACTGTTGGGGTGGTGACGATGATGATGTTGTTGCTGGAGTGAAGTGGAAAAGCCCAGGCAAGGGAAAAAAAAAAGAAACAACATAATAGTCAGAAGCATAAACGTAATTAATAAGGCAAATTAATGCAAACAATAATACAAATTCATTTTCGTGCACAAATGAAACTAAATTACAACAACGTGAGCCAACCGAACCCAACCCAAACGGCATACAACAAATGCTGGGGCTTGGAGCATGGAAAACCATGGAAATTGAATGCTAATTTGGGTTGAGCCGAAAACTTGAATACCCTCCTGGGTATTTCAGCTGACTGTGTTCGTGGGGCCAAATTAAACATGCTAAAGATTTTGCTTTAATTGAACCTTTTGTGCCTCATGAATGTCAGGGGAAGGAGAAATTATTTAAATCGAGTAGTGTGTGGTTTTGTATTTCTTAAGTTATATAAAGGTATTCTGTACAGGATTGTGGTATCTTTTCTTTAAGGTTATGTCTTGCAAGTTCATATGTTGTAGCAAAATTGTCTAACGTTGGAGATGAACTCCACATGAGCTGTCTTTTAATGAACCAAAATGTGAGTCTCATGTTTCCAATAATATTCCAGGACATTTAGGTATTAATCAGACTTAACTACAATGCAAACTAAAATATGTAATTTGAATTGACGCAAACCCCTTTCAATACGTTTGACTTTCAGTTTAGTTTCAACACGTACTATGAGGGATTTCCATATTTGAATTTAGTCTGTCTATACTTGAGGTACACAGATTGACAAGGGTAATAAAATAGGAGGTAAAGGAGGAGGTATTATAAAATTATAAAAAAATATTTAAAAATTTAAAAAAGAAATGAAACTTTAATAACTTTATAAGAAACTCTATAACTGATCAAATTCTGCCATACTGAAAGCCTTAGGCCTTTAAAAATAAAATTCTACTCTTGCTGCAGTCTTTAGCTTGAAGAAGTAATAAGAAAAGAAGCATATATTTAACAAAGCCATATAAAATATCTTTCCAAATCATCTTTTTACGACCCAACTTCCTTTAGTTCAACTATATATAAACTCCCCACATCCCAAAGTATCTTCCAAGCTATTCGACACTTTGTCCATTCATCCAGCTAAATCTTTTATTAATAAATTAGATCCGTTGTTGGTTTTCTTGGCAACGTGGACGGGCAAGTTATTATACCCTTTCCAACTTGCAAGAACAACAATAAATGGCAACTAATAAGCACAGGTCACAAGCACCCACACCCTTACCCTTAAGCCTTACCCACACCTCCATACCCACACATCCACAAAGAGCATCGACAACTAAACAGTTCGTCGAGCAGAAAAACGAGGAAATCTACTTAATCACGTTTAATTAAGGTGAGTTTATAAGTAGCCCTCTGTGCGAATGTGGATGTGGGTGTGTTATATCTGCGGGTCGGTGAGCACACAAACTAACTGTACATACATAAATCTTTCTCTATTTTTTTTGCGAATTGCTTTTATTGCCATTTTGTGGAGGAGCCGACGACGAATGATACAAAAGAGCTTGCCAGGTAATCACAACTGGCCTCAGTTCCACATAAATGCAAATTAGGGTTAGATGTTCACGAGTGTGTACATGGTTGGGATTGGGGTTGTGGTGTACTAGTGTGTGTGTGTGTGTGTTTCCAGATTACCGCTCAGGGGATTATAATAATAATAATTATGCAAGTGCCTTGAATGGATTTATTGGTGGCACATTCATCAGGAGTCATCTGTTCGCTTATTTCCCCTTGGCCACTGTCCTTTCCGGTTGGTTGACCTTTTCCTGGTTTAGGGGGCTGAACTTCTGCGTGTGTTTGTAGAGCTCCTCCATAGCCTTGTTCTCAATAGCACGTATAGCATCTAAACCAGTCTCTGGGAAGATCTTCATCTTGGGCTGATCAGGTCCCATAATTAGGCAGAAAAGAAAATAAATCCAGAGAAATCACCAGAAACGGAATGTGATAGTTGCTTTCACTTTGATTTATGCCAAATACCAAGTTGTTGTCACTGACACACAGAAATCGGCCTGATATGTCGGCCGTATGTCACACATTTGGTTAATTGAAAAAGCATCAAGGCCCTCATCATTAGCAAAAGCTTCGTGACTTGTGTCGCTGCTCGTCCGACCTCAGCTCCTGCTCCTCATGTTCCTGCCACCTAAGCCCGCTTCCTTGCCACACCGGATCTCGCCTCCCCCCACCACATTTATGTAATCGATGCATGTCGAACAGGCAGCAACAAAGCCAACAACAAGTGAATGGCGTGTGTGACACGAGCTGAAAAACGAAACGAGCGAGCCAGAAAGGAGAGCACAGAGGACCTAGAATAGAGGCTATATCTGGAGAGGGGAAACATTGAGGATATAGTGGGGCAAAAATGGAACAAACAAAAACCTATCAAGTTGTATGCTCGTTGATTTCAATTTGTGAATTGTTGTTCTTTGGCGAATGCATTTGCATTTGCATATTGCACATACGCCACCTTGTCCCCTGCTAACCATTCTTGTATGTTTTTCTAATTAAGCCCCCTTCTACTAACAAATAAAAAAATAATTAAAAATACCCGAAAAAGCAATGGGTGGTCCGTGGGCTTCTAAAATACAGATAAGGGTAGAATTTGCTCTATAAATCGCGATGTTTGCCTTTTTTTGGGACGGTGGGGC